TGACAGAGTGAGATCCTGTCTCTAAAAAGAAAAAAAAGCCTTAAGCACAGATGTTATTGCTATGTTCAGTGTATTTGTCTGCTTCCATGCTGCTAATAAAAACACACCCAAGACTGTAATTTGCAAAGAAAAAGAGGTTTAATGGATTCACAGTTTCACATGGCTGGGGAGGCCTCACAATCATGGTGGAAGGCAAGGAGGAGCAAGTGATGTCTTACATGGATGGCAGCAGACAAAGGGAGAGCTTGTGCAGGGAAACTCCTTCATATAAAACCATCAGGTCTCATGAAACTTATTCACTATCATGAGAACAGCATAGGAAAAACCTGTCCCCATGTTTCAATTATCTCCCACCAGCTCCCTCACACGATAGGTGGGAATTCAAGATGAGATTTATGTGGGAACACAGCCAAACCATCTCATTCCACTCCTGGCTCCTCCCAAATCTCATATCCTCACATTTCAAAACCAGTCATGCCTTCCCAACAGTTCCCCAAAGTCCTAACTCATTTCAGCATTGACCCAAAAATCCACAGTCCAAAGTCTCATCTGAGACAAGGCAAGTCCCTTCTACCTATGAGCTTGTAAAATCAAAAGCAAATTAGTTACCTCTTAAATACAATGGAGGTACAGGCATTGGGTAAATACAGTCATTCTAAAATGGGATAAATTGGCCCACACAAAGAAGCTACAGGCCCCATGCATGTGTAAAATCCAGCAGGGCAGTCAAATCTTAAAGCTCCAAAATGATCTCCTCCTTTTACTCCATGTCTCACATGCAGGTCACACTGATGCAATAGGTGGATTCCCACGGTCTTGGGAAGCTCTGCCCCTGTGGCTTTACAGAGTACATTGTCCTTCCTGGCTGCTTTCATGAGTTGGTGATGAGTGTCTGCAGCTTTTCCAGGCAGAGTTCAGGCTGTTCTTGGATCTACCATTCTGGGATCTGGAGGATGGTGGCCCTCTTCTCACAGCTTCACGAGGCAGTGTCCTAGTGGGGACTCTGTATGAGGGCTCTGACCCCATATTTCCCCTCTGCACTGCCCTAGCAGAGTTCTCCATGAGGATCCCTCCCCTATAGCAAGCTTCTTCCTAGACATTCAGGTGTTTCTATACGTCCTCTGAAATCTAGGTGGAGGTTCCCAAACCCCAGTTCTTAACTTGTGTGCACTGACAGGCTCAACACCATGTGGAAGTTGTCAAGGCTTAGGGCTTGCACCCTCTGAAGCCAGCCAGAACTCTACCTTGGCCCCTTTTAGTCATGGCTAGAGTGGCTGGGATGCAGGGCACCAAGTTCCTAGACTGCACACAGCAGAGGGACCCAGGGCCTAGCCTATGAAAACCCTTTCTCCTCCTAGGCCTCTGGGCCCATAGTGGGAGGGGCTACCATGAAGACCTCTAATATGCCCTGGAGACATTTTCTGCATTGTCTTGGTAATTAACATTTACCTCTCAGTTACTTATGCAAATTTCTGCAGCTGGCTTGAATTTCTACTCAGAAAATGGGATTTTCCTTTCTATCACATTGTCAGGGTGCAAATTTTCCAAACTTTTATGCTCTGCTTCCCTCTTAAAACTGAACAGCTTTAATAGCATCTAAGTCATCTCTTGAATGCTTTGCTGCTTAGAAATTTCCTCCACCAGATATCCTAAATCATCCCTCTCAAGTTCAAAGTTCCACACTTCACTATGGTGGAGACAAAATGCCACCAGTCTCTTTGCAAAAGCATAACAAGAGTAACCTTTGTTCCAGTTCCTAATAAGTTCCTCTCTTTATATGTGACCACCTCAGCTGAGATTTCATTGTCCATGTTATTATCAGCAATTTGGTCAAAGCCATTCAGCAAGTCTCTAGGAAGTTCTAAACTGGTCCACATCTTCCTGTTTTCCTTTGAGCCCTCCAAACTGTTCCAACCGTTGCCTGTTACCCAATTCCAAAGTCACTTCCACATTTTTGGGTATTTTTATAGTAGTGCCCCACTCTACCAGTACCAATTTACTGTATTACTCTGTTTTCATGCTGCTGATAAAGACATACACAAGACTGGGTAATTTATAAAGAATAAAAGGCTTAATGGACTCATGGTTCTGCATGGTTGGGGAAGCCTCACAACTATGGTGGAAGGCAAGGAGGAGCAAGTCAAGTCTTACATGGATGGCCGCAGGCAGAGAGCTTTTGCAGGGAAACTCTCCCTTACAAAAACCATTAGACCTCGTGAGACTTATTCACTATCATAAGAACAGCATGGGAAAGACCTGCCCCCATGATTCACTTACCTCCCATCGGGTCCTTCCCACATGTGCAAATTCAAGATGACATTTGGGTGGAGACACAGCCAAACCATATCACTTAGTCTTTCCACCCATTAATCTGGAAAGTCTGGTCACAACTGCTCAGAATTTAGACCCAGTGGCTATTAAGAATTAGTAGAATACTTGGTTTAATAGAGTCTTAATATTTTGTATGAATTTTAAAATTCCTCTTAGAGGGCAACATTTATGTGACTGTTCATTCTCTCCACTTTTTCTAGAGCTTCTCCATAGGCATCCCCAAACAGAATTGTATCTTAATAGTGTCTCACATGTCAAACTCTTATTTATTTGAGACATCATGGGAAGGGTCACAGCCTGTCCCTTGAAGGCTTTGCAATGTAACCAGGCAGTGTAAGTGATGGCAAACCCCCTGATGTAGACTCAGCCCACCTGAGTTCTAGGCCTGGCCTTGCCTTTAGGTCACTGTGTGAAGCTTGACTAGTTGCTTCTCTGTCCCCTGCCTCAAAACTGCTATAACCTTCAAAAACTGAACTAGGATCAGCCAAACTCTAATATTCCTTGTAACTCACACTCTGTGATACCAAATACTTAAGAGTTTAAAAGCATGCCCCTCTTGGGCAAAGGAGTGTGGTCTATGGGAGAGAAGCTGAGCTAGAAGTTGCTGGTGACAGAGCTATCCCAAAGGTTGAACACAGGCAGTCCTCATGTCCTGTCAGGCCTCAGGCTTGCTTAGTTTGTTCCACATAATATAAAGTGGTTTTTTTTTAATTGCTAATATTTAAAAATAAGATTTTATATAAAAATCTGGATTGCCAGCTTTTCTTGAAAAACTGAAAAATCTAGCCACCATAGTCCCCTGCATTTTTCAATTGAAATCTGATCAGGGTCAGAGAAGTTAGATTCTATTGATATCTTAAGCACAGACTGCAGAAGGTGATTTTCCAGGATAGGCATATGAGGCTCTCATGTGGAAGGTCAAAAAGGGCTCTTCTTTCTTAACACAGAACAGAGAACATATCATTTTAGACATCAGCTCATAAGCAATACTAGGACTAGATTTATTTTCTTTGTTGAAAGTAGTCTATTTGGTGAAGATTCTAAATTTTTCACTTTATAACTTTCATAGGGAAATAGCTATGATGGTTTGTATAAAATGTTCAGACCATATCTACCTAGGAGTAAATCTAACAAAGGAAGTGTGAAATCTTTCTGGGAAAAATATGTAAAATGTTATTAATGAATTGAAAAAGAAGACAAGAAAAATGGCAAGATATAACATGCTTGTGGATGAGAAGATTCAGTATTGTAAAGATGCACATTTCCCCCAATGACATTTTAATTAAAAATGTACCAAATATTTCGGGTATCCTGGTAAATTCATTTTCAACTTAATCTAAGGTGTAAAATACAGGAAAGCCAAAGGATATATATGACAAAGGATAATTCTGGAAGAGAAGTCAGAAGAGAGGGAAATGTTATATATGAGGCCTATAGCAAGGATATTATAATTAAGACAGCATGGTATTGGTATACTAGTAATCAAACACACCAGTGCATCAGAACAAAAAGCTGGAAAATAGATATACGCATATGTGGAAATTGCCATATCTGAAACTGCAAATCAGTGGAGAAATGATGAACTACTTGATATGGAGACTTGAGAAATTATCTTTCTTTATAGAAATAAAATTGTATTCCTACCTTCCTCTATACAAAAATACTCCAAAATATTAAAGAACTAAATGTAGAAAACAAAACTCTGAATCTATACTTTAAAAATAGAAAATATCTTTGTAATTTCAGATCTAGGAGGAATTCCTTAAAACAAGTAATAAAAGCAAATTTTGTTTAAAGATAAAGTTAGACTTTATTAAAATTTAAAATTTTATATGACAAAGGATATCAAACAAAGACAATCGTCAACTGGGAAAAGATACTTTCAACATTTATAATGGGCAAACAAATTGTATTCAGAATGTTTAAAGAACTTATAAATCAATGGGAAAAAATACAAATAAAAAATGGGCAGAAGATACTAAGAAGCAATTTTTAAATTAATTAATTAATTATATAAGTCAGGCTCTTGCTGTCTCCCAGGCTGAGTGCAGTGGCGTGATCATGGCTCACTGCAGCCTCAACCTCCCAGGCTTAAGCAATCTTTCCACCTCAGCCTCCCAGCTAGCTGGAACTACAGGCACACTACCATGCCCAGCTAATTTTTAAATTTTTTTGTAGAGATGTGGTCTCCCTGTGTTGTCCAGGAAAGGTCTCAAACTCCTGGGCTCAAGTGATTCTCCCATCTTGGCCTCCAGAATTGCTGGGATTACAGGCATGAGCCACTGTGCCCTTAAAAGGCAATTCACAGGGGAGGATGCTCAGGTAGGTAACACAATATGAAAAAATTATTAACTTTACTAATAATCAGGAAACATCAAATTAAATAAGAGAAATAAAAATATATGTCCACACAAAGACTTGCAATTTTATTTGTAATAGCCAAAAAATTGGAAATCACCAACTGTTAATTAACAGATAAATATATAGACAAAATATAGTATATCAATACACTGAATTAAAAAACTAAGCTCTGATAAAAAATAAGACGGATGAATCTCAAAAATCATTATGCTGATTGAGAATATCCAGACTAAATATACATATAATTTCATTTGTTTAAAAAAATCTAGAAAATTCCAACTAATCTATAGTAAAAGAAAACAGATCAGTTGTCGACTTGTGTACTTATTTCCAATTGTTGCAAGTTAAATTACCTTGAGCTTAGAGACTTAAAACAAGACACATTTATTTCTTCTAGTTACCATGGGACAAGAGTTACCCAGGCACTCTGCTCAGACTGACATCAAGGCTGCAATCTTATCTGAAGCTTTAGATCTTTTTGCAAGCTCTGTGGTTGTTGGCAGAATTCAGTTCTTTGTAGCTAGAGGATTGAGGCCCCAAACTCCTACAGGCCCTTGCCCTTCTCTGCCACAGGACCCTCTTCATACATGGCAATTTGGTTCTTTCAGGATTCCAGGGAAGTTTGCCTGCTTTTCAAATCTTTGTGACTTCTGTTTCTGACTTTTAGAACCTCTTTTAAAGAGCTCATATTAAGATCAGGCCCATCTGGGATAGCCTCTCTTTTGATTAACTTAAAGTCAACTGACTAGGGATGTTAATTACATACTGCAAGAACTCTTCCTCTTAGCTACATAATATAGGCTAATCAGTGAGTGTTGTACCATTACTTTTACAGGCTCCATTCACATTCAGGTGAGGAGATTGCACAAGGTGTGTACACCAAGGAGTGGGAAATTTGAGGCCATCTTTTGATTACCACACCCAGTGTCAGAAGTTGAGGGGAAGATGTAAATAAATCAGTCTTACTTTATCAGTGTTCTTAACTACTTTCTATGTTGCAATATTATCTCCCTTCTTTTTAAAATAGAACTTTTTCCCTAATACAGTGGAAATGTCAATTGCTTTTCCTTTTTCATTGTGCCATCATGTAGACACATGAAAAAAAATTACTATTTTAAGAACAAGATGATCAACATCTACAGTGCATTGAGTGAAAAAAAAAAAGAATTTAGAAAGAGATGAATTGCAATGAGGCACAAGGAAACTTTTAGAGGTGATGGAAATGCTCAGTATCTCAGTTGTGGTGCTGGTTTCACGGATTTCTCGAAATTCATCAAATTGTACCCTTTAAATATGTGCAGTTTATTGTATATCAGTTATGCCTCATAAAGTCATAAATTATATAAAAACATTGTTCACCCATCAGACTGGCAAAATATTGAAAGTCTAAAGTACCAAGTATAAGCAATGAGGGGACATAATGGAAACACATACAATGCTGGAGAGCAAGAGTGTGTAGACTACAGAGGGTTTTGGTCATACCTGGAGAAAAAGATGAGTATGGCTGTATTTTTAATACCCCAGAATTTCACTGCTATATAGGTATTGCAGAGAAACCCATTTCCACCAAGAATAAATACAAGGATACTCATTGTATATCATTGCAATAACAAATATTGAAAACAAATGTCCATCATTAGACAAATGGATAAACATGACATATTCATAATAGAAAACACTACTCAGGAGTTAAAAAATAAATAGTTCTGTATCTATCAACAGATCTTAAAAATTGAATGTCTAGAAAAACACTTTGTAGAATGATTGTTCATTATGATAACATCTGTGGACAAAAAGTACAAAATATTGCTGCATGCTATTTATTGACATATGTAACACATGGACATAAAAACATGGATGAGAAAAAATATAAATTCATGACTTTGGGAGAAAAGGGAATAAAACTAAAAAGGAGACCTAAAAGGGAGCTCAGTTTCATCACCTATTTTTTCATTTAAAAGATTCAGTGGCAAATATGGAAAACATAAGTGTTCATTCTGGTGGTGGGTGCTGCATGACTGTTTTATAGCAAGTGGACTCCCTGCCCAACACACATAGAAGCTAATACGATGGTGGCAGCTTTTGAGAAAAGAAAGGCTTTGTTACTAGGCTGGCCAGCAAGGAGACAGGAGATGGGCTGAAATCAGGTCTCCCACATTTGGGGTCTGGGGCAAGTATTAAGGGGTTAGATGACAGGGGAAAGGATTTACAAATGTTGGCTTGGCAAGGTCCATTTGGAGGTCTTCAAATTTGACCTCCAACTTTACAGTAGGGCATGTCGAGGCAGATTTTAGTTCCAGATCTTCCTGGCCAACAGACCCCTTGCTTTGAAAGAGTTCCAGTGGTCATGTTCCAGCAGGTTCTGGTCATGTGCCATCTTCTTGGTTCAATGAGGAGGAATCATTGGTTCCAGGTGTTGTTAGAAGTCAAAGCTGTTTCTGTTGCACATGCCTGGGCTGTATGACTTGCAGTCTTAGCTCTGTTATGCCTGTAAGCTAGTGCAACATTCTGTTACCAACGGAGTAGGGCTAGTTTTGGCTGGGTTGGCAGTTACATAAAGTTTCACTTTATTTTGTTTTTAAATTATCACCTATAAATAACCCTGTCTAATTTTGAGAACAACATCAGAAAAGTCTAAAGTGAGAGACATTCTATAAAATACTTTACCAGTTCTCGTCAAAATGTCAAGGTCATCAAAAACAAGGAAAATCTGAGAAACTCACAGTCTAAGGAGATGTAATGAATAAATATAATGTGGTATCTTGAGCAAGATTCTAAAACAGAAAAAGGACATTAGGTTAAAAACTAAGAAACTCAGAATAAATTATGAGCTTTAGTTGCTAATGTCATATCAATGTTGGTTCATTAGTTGTGACAAATGTACCCTAGTAATGTGAAAAATAAAGGAAGCTGGGTGCAAGGTACGTGGAAACTATTATATTCTTGCAACTTTTCTGTAAATCTGAAACTATTTTAAAATAAAAACCTTCTTTTTAAAAAAAATAGCCTATAGTTTAAATAAAATAGCTTGGTAGGGTATCATGTAGGAAAACACTATTTTGAAGGTGGGCCAGTCTATATTGAAAGCCTGGCTCCTCCACCCATGCCCATAATACCTTTGACCAGTCTTGGAACTACTTCAGCTTCCATTTCTTCTTTTGCAAAATGAGAACAATCCCTACCTTATAGAATGATTGAGAAATTAAATAAGAATGCATAAAGCACTTAGCACATAGTAAAGACTCAATAACAATTATTATTTTTATTTTATTGTAATTATTGCATTATTACATCAAATGTGTTTGTTTTGATTATTAGGTAAGAAAACCATGGTATCTTTAAACCTTGCTCATTAAAAAAAAATCAGTAAGCTTAGGTCTGCAATCACTCTGTTAGCACCCACCAAAATGTACACAATATCAACAATCCCTTTGACAATAAGGAGCACTTTGGAGGGAGGGGAGCTATTAGTAAGTTGGACTGGACTTTATTCTCTTTATTCTTAGGAGAATTTTCCTTACCACTCTTCATAAGTTCAAACCAAAATATCATGATTACATCACTCCATTCAATGAGAGGGGAGGACACAAAGGAAAAGCTTAGTGCTAAGGTAGTAATCTTTCCTCTACAAAACTAAGGAAGAAAATTACAACCTTTGTGTGCAAATTTTTTAGCACAATAATCTGTCCTCCTAGCATATATGCCCAATCCCAATCACATTAGATCCATCCTATTAGTGGGGAGGAGAAGAAAGGGCAGTCTTCCTGCTGCACTTATCACTCTCCAGTTTATCTTTAAAATGAAATATTGTGCCATCACGAAAATCCTGTTTTCACAGAGCAGTGCATGAGATGAAAAAATGCTTGTCATATAAAAATCAGGGAGGAAAAGCAGGATTAAACCCTATTCATAGAGTAATCCACATTTTAGAGGGAAATGGACAAATATTCATGTGCAAAGAGAAAACATTGGAAGGATAAACTCTCCACCCAAAGAGTAGACAACTGATTGGTGGTATTCAGTAAACTTTATTCTGTATATTTTTTTTGTTTTTCAGACAACAAGAGACATTACGTAAAGAGACTGAAAAGAGATAGGGGTGGTATAGGTTAATTTGTTATTATGGGTATACATGCTACAAATGATTGAAGGTAAACAATGATATGAAGGTGGTTTACAGTCCCAGGAGAGAACTCCTCACGTAGGTATAAGCTTCAAGGTGCTCTTCTCCAATAACAATATTAAGGCACCATTTTTGAGCTCTCATTATAAGCACACTTCCAAGTTCTTGGCAGGGACTACTTTTATTGAATTCTTAGGCTCTGGGATCAGCCTGCCTGGGTTCACATTCAGGCTTCATCCCTTACTATCCGAATGACCTTAGGCAGGTTACTTAATCTCTCTGAACCTCAGTATTCAGAGGTGTAAAATAGAGATAAAAATAACACTTACTCATGGAGTTAAGTGTTAAACGAACTTATGGAAACAGACTGTTTTTTTTTTTAGATGGAGTCTTGCTCTGTCGCCCTGCCTGGAGTGCAGTAGTGTGGTCTCGGCTCACTGCAACCTCTGCCTCCAGGATTCAAGGAATTCTCCTGCCTCAACCTCCCAAGTAGCTGGGATTACAGGCACGTGCCACCACACCAGCTAATTTCTTTGTATTTTTAGTGAGACAAGGTTTCACCATATTGGCCAGGCTGGTCTCAAACTCCTGACTTTCTGATTCTCCTGCCTCAGCCTCCCAAAGTGCTCAGATTACAGGCATGAGCTAACACGCCCACCTGGAAATAGACTTTTTAAAATGTCCTAGCATATACTAAATATTCAACGAAAGTTTGCTGTAAGTATCCCCATTACATGGATGAAGATGTTAAGGCTTAGAGCAGCTGAGTCATTTTCCAAGGTCATGTGCCTGTAAGTGGGGAAGCATTCAAACCCTCGTCTTCTCAAACATTAACCTTTTAATCATTGTACCACAAATTACTTTCACTGATTAGGCACATGAAACTTAAGACTTTGCAGACAGTTGACTTGTGCTGTACTGTCACCAGTAACTTGAATTCTTTCCCTACTTTATGTTAGCCACAAAGAAAGAATGTCAAACTGGAAAGGCATTCAGGTTTTAGAATGGCCAAAGAATGGAGAAGGGGAGCTCATGCTCTAAAGGCACCTCTTCCCAGGAGATGGGAGTTTTACAGAGGTGAATGTAGGGGGAGGTATGCAGGCAGGTATTGGGTGGAGTTCCAAGTGGTAGGTGCAATTCATGAACATGCCTCTCCATATATTGCATGTACACAAAACGGCAGTGATCTTCACTTAGCAGAAGGGATTTTAGTATGATAATGATATGTTAATGATTCAAGGTAACCGGAGGTCACCGGCTCTGGTCTGTACCGTTTTCTTACTGGTCTTGACTTTCTCTGATAGGGAGTCGAAAGGTTGCTTGTGGCATCCGGGCCATTTGGTTTCTTTAAGCTGTTCTGCCTATCAGTAAAGAGACTATAAGAGAAAAAAGCTGCGAAAGTTCTTCCACTACAAAGCAGTCCTGGTGACAGAGTTTCTTTTTTTTTGTCTCAGCAAACAATTTAAGTTGCTTTGAGTTTGAATTCAGCTTCAAAATTAATTTACAATAATTTTTAAGTAACTCTAAAGCCATGTCAAGCTTTCTAGTTCTACCAGAATAAATATGCTTCTTGGTTATATCCATGCTGACAGCTGCATTTCTTCAAGAAATGCCATGACAAAAGTGTCCTCTTAAAATGCAAACTTGGAAGACAAACAGGTCTCAAGCTACTTGCTTGAAAGGATGAGTTATATAAAGTGGCAAGTTCTTTATCTTAAAAAAATAAGGTATTACAAAGCCCCAAGGAGACAATAAAATGTAAAAGAATCTGTTACCTTGATTTTATTTGCTGCTTTTTTTTTTGAAAGCTAACACTGAGCTGTATATTGATAGACAAGACAAACCATTTCTTGGCATATTTCAATTTGTCTGAAAGTCAGTTACTTGGTTACAGCTCAAAGGACAAGTTCTCAGTAAAGAATAAATAATGTATTCACATTAATCACTTCCCCAGTGTATAAAGTATGTATCAACTAGGATGAGAGGGAGACTGGCCTTGGGAAGAAAAGTACATTCTTAGAACAAGGGTCTCGGCAGATTTCTGTCCTTTGATGAACTCAGGATAGCTCATGTAAACCATGTGGAACCACTGCTCAGAAATCCAAAGGACTGGGCTCTCTCGCCCCAGCTCAGCCATTGATTCTCTCTGAGGAGATGGAAGCTTCTTGTTTAACCCTTCTTGGCCTTTGATGTCTCTCCACAACTGAGGAGGGGGTGGAAATAAGACAATTGTTCACCAGATTGATAGATTCTGATTAACCCCCTGTGGGGAAGCTCAGAGCATACAGAGATTCCTGGACTCAAACCCAGATCTACTGGTTCAGAATCTCTGGATGTGTGTCTTGAGAATCTGCATTTTTTTTTTTTTTTTTTGAGACGGAGTTTCGTTCTTGTTACCCAGGCTGGAGTGCAATGGCGCGATCTCGGCTCACTGCAACCTCCGCCTCCTGGGTTCAGGCAATTCTCATGCCTCAGCCTCCCGAGCATCCGGGATCACAGGCACGCGCCACCACACCCAGCTAATTTTTTTTATTTTTTTAGTAGAGACGGGGTTTCACCATGTTGACCGGGATGGTCTCGATCTCTTGACCTCGTGATCCACCCGCCTCGGCCTCCCAAAGTGCTGGGATTACAGGCTTGAGCCACCGCGCCCAGCCCCGAGAATCTGCATATTAAACAAGTGCAGTAGCTCTTTCTCATACAGCACTCTGAGTTCTCACCACACACTCTTGTTTAGTAACCATCAGAGTGATGATTTCTGATTTCCAAGGTCCAAGCCAAGTATACTCTGGTGGAATGATGATGCCTTCAGTGCCTCCCATCTCCAGAAATTGAAGCTGAATAAGTCAGTAATTACCTCTAAGCACTAGTTTTTTAAAAATGCATTGTCGGCTTTGCAGACGCCGCTGCCGCCTGGAGTCTTGTAGTATCAGCCATGGTCAACCCCACCGTGTTCTTCGACATTGCTGTAGACGGCGAGCCCTTGGGCCGCGTCTCCTTCGAGCTGTTTGCAGACAAGGTTCCAAAGACAGCAGAAAACTTTCGTGCTCTGAGAACTGGTGAGAAAGGATTTGGTTATAAGGGTTCACAGAATTATTCCAGGGTTTATGTGTCAGGGTGGTGACTTCACACGCCATAATGGCACTGGTGGCAAGTCCATCTACAGGGAGAAATTTGATGATGAGAACTTCATCCTAAAGCATACAGGTCCCAGCATCTTGTCCATGGCAAATGCTGGAACTAACACAAACGGTTCCCAGTTTTTCATCTGCACTGTCAAGACTGAGTGGTTGGATGGCAAGCATGTGGTCTTTGGCAAGGTGAAAGAAGGCATGAATATTGTGGAGGCCGTGGAGCTCTTTGGGACCAGGAATGGCAAGACCAGCAAGAAGATCACCATTGCTGACTGTGGACAACTTTAATAAGTTTGACTTGTATTTTATCTTAACCACCAGACCATTCCTTCTGTAGCTCAGGAGAGCACCCTCCACCCCATTTGCTTGCAGTATCCTAAAATCTGTGCTCTCGCTGCAGTTCTCTTTGGGTTCCTTGTTTTCCTTGTTCTTTTCCATGCCTAGCTGGATTGCAGAGTTAAGTTTATGATTATGAAATGAAGACTAAATAACAAAAAAAATGCATTGTCTATCTGCTCATTTAATTCCTTATCTTTTTTTGTCCTTATATTTGAACCAAATTTCATAGTTGAGAATTAAACAAATTATAGCACTGTTTACATGACATCTTCCATTTATTAGCTACACCGTGTTCAGATACTAGATTGTCATTATACATCATCCTGAGTATTAAAAATGACATTTCAAAGAATCATCATTCCCATTTCACAGATTTCAAAAAGAAGATCTATTGAGGTTAAGTTGGCCAAAGCCACAGGATTCATCATCAGAAAATTCAGGATTTGAAATCACTGTTAGAAGATCAATAACATATGCTGTTTGCATCACGTTATTGCCTCGGTTTAGTAACTATAGACTACTTAAATAGCCTCAAATTGGGGAAATATTAAAATAAATTATTGTATGTTCACTGTATGAATCATACATGTATTAGAAGCATGATTTACAATATGAAAATGACTAGGTCAATTGTATGCAGCATGTTTTATCAATTATTGCTGTATAATAAACTATATAAAACTCAATGCCTAAAACAATAGGCATTTATTATTGCTCAGTTGTCTACGGGAAAACAAGTGGTTCTGCTGATTAGCTGAGCCTGTTTGGGTGTCAACATTTGGGTCAGCCAGATACTGACTGGTCTAGGCTAGGAAGGCCTTGCTGACATGTCTAGTGGTCAGCTGGCTATTGGCTGGAGAAACAGGATAACTAGATCATGTGTCTCTTCAGTGTCATCCAGCAGGCTGGCCCAGGTTTATTTACAGTACAGCTTGGAAAAGTTCCAACAGAATGGGGATTGCAAGGCACCTTGAGACCTAGGCTCAGAATGTGCACGATTTTACTTCTGCCATATTCTGTTGGCCACAGAAAGAGATGAGGTGACTCCAGATTCAAGGAGTGAGAAAACCAACTGTATTTCTTGTGTAAGAAAGTACACAGAGTCACATAGAATGAATGTGGACACAGGAAAAGGGATAATAGGGTCATTTTGTTCAATCAGTATGCTAAACACATGAATAAGAACTGGAAGGCATATGGAAAATGTGGAGAACTGATATGTTGACAAGTTAGGGCTGTGAAACATTTTTCTTTTTTCTTTGTATCTTTTTATGTCATGTAGGTGGTTATAATCCTATTGGTGTAACAATGATTGAGAGTAAAAAATAGTAAGCGGAGCCATAGCAAGTGTAAGATCAACAACTACATTACTCACTATGATGAAAGGATAGTATCAATAATTTGCCTATTATAAACCAATATAGCCTCCTTCTCTGTAGTTCATGTAGGTGGGTAACAATGGAAAGAGCCTCAAATTACTAAAGTTAAATAGGTCTCCAAAATATATCCAATGGCTATGGGTCTCAAGTGGAATTTCACTTTGAGAAACCAAATTGTTCTTAGCACTTCTGCTCACTCTGCATGTCACCAGGACTGGTGCCATTCCAGAGGTGCAGCACTTTAGCAATCTTTAGAACCCCTAAGGAACAATTCTTCCTTAATAGACATGATTTCTGATAGTCAAAGTTTTGTCATTTTAGAACCAAACTTTTAGGTTGTTCTAAAAAAGATTGTAACTGTTTTAAATAAAAATTATTAGTTAAATGTATAACTTGTTCACATCCTTGTGTTTTAAAATAGAGTTGATGGAAAACATCTTAACAGTTTTTTGACAACATTGTTCTTTGACAGTATGCAGTGACAACCTCAGAACCTGTGGAGCAGAGCAGGGTTTCTTTGCCCTTACAGAAAATATTCTGAGAATGCCATGCTTTCAAGTTCTTCTTTATGCCCCTTTATTGTTTTTGTGCTCTCTCTTGTTCTCATGGGGCTCTAAGTGTGCCTTCTTCTGACAGTTTGTTCCGTTTTACTTGGCTTCTTCTAACATGCTGTCAACTTAGAAAAAATATCCTTATTAGGAATATTTGTCAAGAAAGAGGAATTAGGCTCTGGGTAAGGACCAGGAAGCCTCTCATCTGAGCAAGGTACGTGGCCATTAGTATATGGAAGGCTTGGTGACATATCTTTTGTCTGATTTTTTTTCTTGGTTCTTGCCTCTATCTAAACATAGACAAGAGCCAGGTTGTTGGGAATCTGAAGCTTTGGCACGTTGCCAGATGTGAGGGAGGTACAGATATGCATGACCTGAGTGAATACATAAAATGCATCCAATGTGGGCTAATTGCACTTAGGACATTAAACATTCTATCAGCTTATTTTGTCAAAGGTCAGTTTTTCATATAAAGACTTTTTCAAAGCATTAACATCTTTATATTTTATTTTAAGGTTCAAGTGAGTTTGTTCATTCCACAGTTTCATTCATTCACCCCTACACTGAGAATGCACACACATACACACACACACAACCTTATCCTCATGGAACTCATGTTCTTGTTTGGAAGACAGAAATAGATGTACATACTTATGAAGTCTTAAGACAAATAGTATAACTGAGACAGATCACCCACTGTGGAAGGACAGAAAACAGAGGAAGAAAAGCATCTCCTAGACCTTTGCATCCCTGCAAAATGTGCTTGATAATATCCAACTAATAGATATTTTGCTGAGGATTTATTAAGATACAGGGTCAGGCCATATGTACTCAAAAAAGTTTATTACATAGAAGATGTATAGCAATAGTTTAGATGGAAGGCAATCTAAACTAACAGAAAATACAACACTGTACTGTTTGAGAGACCCAGCTTTGAAGCTTATTTTCATGACTTATTTATTGGATTTTTGTTTAGCTCCGGTTTTTTCTTTCTTTCTGAAGAATGGGGCTAACTTCTACCTTGCAGTGCCATTGGGAGAATAAAATAAAATGACACAAGTAAAGTGCCACACACAGTAGATGGGAGAGTAAGTGTTCCACGAATGTCAGCTTCTTTCCTCTCTTCCTCTTGACAGAGTGGATGACAACTGAGCTGGGTTTTGACGGATGAGTAGGAGTTCACAGGGAAAGTGGCCTTTCAGCAGAGTCAGATATGGACATTTCCTTCTAAAACTGGAAGATGATTTGTGAAACTGTTGTTCCCAGGGCAGTGGAACCAATAATACTTCTCTATTACTTTATCTGTGTTTAATAATGTTGGCTCATTAACTGGTGCCACCTCACTAATAAGACATATTTGAGCTCTCATTTAAATCTAATAGTGATGTGGGATTTACCCTGATAATGAAGGACAGAGAAGAAAACACTAGAAATCAATAGCATTGAATGACCTTACAGAATTTTGAAAATGTGCAAGGGGGATTGAAATCTTTCTTCCAAAATCATGTGCCCAGGGTTTGAAGTTAAATCAAGTGGAACTAATAAGAAGCTTGAAATCTCATTATTTAGATTAGGTCTGTCCATTCATTCAATGGGTATTTGTTTATCACGTCTCTCTTGCAAAATACTGAGTTAAGAGAAGAGCCAAACATGAAGATGGCTAACTATGACACAGAATGAAACAAGGGTTATACATGAGAAAAAACTAAAAAGGATGGAAGTGGTAATTTATCTGGTCTTTTAAAGGAAAAGTAGAGTCATGGTTGGCCAAAGAGAGAAACAAAACATTCTGTATGGAGGGAACAGCATAAACCAAGGGCAGAGGCTTGTGCAAAGAAAAGCATGAACTGTTACACAAATCCTCAAGCCCACTAAAAAAAAAAACCAACAAGCAAAAGGAAAGAAAATCAGTGAGAAGTGCAGCCAGAACCAACATAATCTTTCCTTGGAGCCCTCATAAAAAAAAGTCATAGTTTCCCGCTTCTTTCTTTTGTTTTCTTCCCCGTTTGTGACTTAGAACTTTCCAAAGCACCTGTATGCACTGCAGCAGGCACCGTTAAGGCCACACACCCAAACCTGCAGCACTTGCCACACATGCCTTCAGCATTCCCTCTGTAGGCCAGTTCTCTCTCCCTGAGGGCTTCAGGCTGTGAAGAGGGATAGGCCAGCAATGCAGGGAATTTGATGTTTGCAGGAGCCAATAAGAGAAGGGAGTTGGAGAATAAATGCACCAGCTTCCTACACTGCTATAATACCTCTGAAGCATTCACATACTGTCTTCCAGAGCACCCCAGTGAGGTAGCCCCAGCTGCCTACCACAGGCACCTGCTCATGAATGCATTCTTTATCAGCTCCCTTCATTTCCCTGTCTCAATTCCCCACTCTCTTTTCTGGAATCATCTCCCAAATAGACTACTTGTATTTATGTCCTTGTCTCTCAGGAGGAATTCTTGGGGAGGGGCAACCCCAAGACAGCATTCCTTAAGCCTCCTGATGGTACACAGGGCAGCAGTGTTGATGAACTGATATGGAAAAGATTAGGGATGGTTTGAGGTAAGAATGCAGAATCCAAGCTGATTCTAAGAAATGGTCGAGGAGTATTTCCATGTCCTTTTCAACTTCGATTTTTTTTTTTAATTTAGTTGTGTCTTTAGGAAAATTAAATAAGTTAATTCCTATGAATTGCTTAGAAAAGGGCCTGGCACATATATTTCAACATTGTCATTGCTTTTAAATTAGCCCCTCCTCTTGTTTTGGTGTGTGGCAGCATGCTCCCGGAAAGAGGCAGACCCAGACAAGAAAGAGGTGGGAAAAGGAGAGGTGGTCCCGAGGCCTTATTGATCGTGTTTCCACGTCATGGAGCTGATGTCTGCAGCCAGCTTCTCTCACCTTTGATGAGACTCCCCTTCCTACTCAGAGCTTGTGTTGAACATGGAACTCACCTTGTATGACAAGTTATGGTGGCCTTCTTGATGATTATTTCATGTAATCATTGGCTTCATGTGCTGTACAAAGATTCCCTGTCAAGTTTCCCTTTGGGAAAAGGGAACTGGGGGAGTTGATAATTCCAGATTTCTAAATACTCTACCCTCCTGGCTTCTGATTCAGGAGGTCTGGGTTTGGAACGAATAAACCATGTTTTTTAATGAGCTGCCCGGGTGATTCTGATGGGCAGCCAAGTCTGAGAACCACATTGCTATGTGGCTTTAGTCCCTAGGATACACATCACAGAACATTGTGTGTTATAAAAGAAAGGGTGGAAGTGTTTTCTGGACAAAGTCTAAGGCTGACTTTCCTTGTATTATAACTAATGTCAGAACAAGTAGTGTTACAGCTCCTTACAGAGAGTTTTTGTCTCCACAATTTCAGCGAAATGAGAGGAAAAGTGTTGCTCCTAGAGGTGAGATAAGTGACATTCTGGAAATATCAGACTGTCCTGTTCTTCAGACTGACTCTCTTAATTTGTATCATTTCAAGACTTGGGGATGGTATAAGAAGGAACTAACATTTTAAGGAAGACATTGGTAAGACATTCTATTTTAAAAATA